CACGGCTTTCCCGGCACTGCGGCTCCGGTGGCTCCGGCTCAGCGGGAAGCCCTCAGTTTTCCTACCCCTAATTAGGCGCATTATTGCACCGCTTTAATTTAGCGCAAGAATAAGAAAACTGCTCAAGCTCTGTGGATGAGTGGGGGAAGGGAGAGATTTCTGACAGAAAACTCCAAAATCTCAGAGCAGGCTAATGAGAACTAAGTGAAGACCCTTAAATCCACTTTTCCTCCCATGCCTCCATTGTGAAAAACGCCCATCACTTTAAGAAAAAATAAAATTTAATAGTAATAAAATTGTCATAAAAATAGTAATATAATTAGAGTAATAAAAATTTGAACAATTAAAGTAGGACAATACGAGACAATAAGAAGTAAGTTACGGAGGACCGGGTACCTTTTCTGAGCAAAATAAGCCCGATAAAGGACACCGATTAACAGGGGATTAACCTTTAAAAACAACAGCCTGTTGCATATTCATACACTTCATACATGATGCATAAATTCCTTTCAAACAAAGGATTCTGTCTGGTCAGTGTCAACTTCTTCCTCCTAATCATAAGCGGCGTCTTCATGGCTGAGCAAGGCGGGAAGAAGTTCTTTTCTTCTGATAACAGAACAGTAAATTCTCTTTCTCTGAAAGATTTAGGTGTCCTGTGGCTGCTATCTGCTGCAAGTACTTCATCCATTTCTTAAAAAAGTATGCCACATACATAGTTCCTACCTTAACTACAAAACTACATTTACCATACTGTTAAAATGTTGATACTGCCCTACTAATCACTACCACAAAATACATTATAGTATTTTATATCTGCATGGAGGCATATAATATGTACTTTTCACACTGGCAAGGGAAAGGGATTCCTTTAATCTGTCTAACCACAAATAAAATAAATAAAAAGGCTGTCCCTGTTACAGCAAAAAATCTGATATGCCCACAAACACCACAAATGGGGGCGGGGGGGGATTTCCTGGAATTCTTTTAATTTGCTTTAATGCACATAAATCACCACACTAGTTTTTCCACATAAAATGCTGCACTTGTTGCAAACAAAATCTTGAAATCTCACATACAGAACTATACAGTCCCAATAATCAAATTACCACAATGCAGGGGAAAAAACCCACACAACTCCCCTGTACCTCAAGTCTTGGGAATCAGCTTATAACACGCTGTCTCTATTTCAGCTCTGACAGCCCACAAACACCAGTTCAAGATAAAACCCTTCTAAAAGGGTGGCTTAACCCTTTTGACTCAGGCTCAAGCTTAATACACAGCTTAACACAGATGACACACAACAAAAATTACCAGTTTGTTACAATTGTAACTTTTACACAATAGTCAGCAAAATCTCACGCTACACCAGATGAATCCAAAGTTGCAACTTTGCAAACGCCACAAGGACAGGGATCACAAAGGCACCGTGTTACAGCGTTTGATCCTCACCTCCCAGGTCCCACAGGCAAAGGATTGGTTAACACTGAACACAAAGCCTTATAAAGACTGGTTATACTCAAACACCAGGTGTCACAGCGAATGCTGCTCCCCAAAACTAGAAAGTTCACACACAAAAACTCACTGTGAAAGGGGTATTTCTTTCCACACACACAAACTCACTGTGAAAGGGGTATTTCCACACACACCAACTCAGTTATAACAACCTTAGACCAGCATTTGCCCTTACGACTGCTAGCCCCAGTTGGTGGCAAACTGAGCTCTCTATGCTGAAACAAATGGCAGCAGCAAAAGCCCGAGCTCAGTACAACAGTTCAACAACTCTTTCTGCTGGCAACCAGATTTCAACTGCAACTTCAGCTTGCAAGCACACTACAGAGGCACAAATTGCACGTGGGACATCTCCCACACTTACCAAAGGGCCTCTCCTGACCACGCCTTACCGGTCACTGTTTAAAACTGTTTCAATTTTTAAACATACCGTTTTGTCTGGAGTTTTAGTACTCAGGGCTCCTTGTCTGCTGCTGGATGAACAGTCTGTGCAGCAGAGCCCACTCTTCCAGGAATATCCTGGGGGTGCTGTTGCAGAATGCGGCCTTTGTCGGGGATGAGCCATTTGTCAGGTGCAGGGAAAACTCGGGGCTCAATATGAGTCAACAGCAAGTTCCGTTTATTGAAGAGAGCATCAGACACTTATACAGCAAGTAATAAGCTTATGAATATTCTGTAAGCCAAGCGAACTATTGGTTAAACTATACCATCAACTCTTCCTCATTCCTTTGGGCCTACATTCTCTATTTCCCACGTCTCTCTGTCCACTCTTTATCATACCCAGCTAGGCCCAAGGACACGCTATCTTGCAGGTGCAAAAACTCCAACTAGCTGTGTTCGGTACTTTCCCAGCTCCTGGTCGGCTAACAAGCGAATGTCTATGTGACCTCTGTCATGTAGCCATTTCTCCACAGGTTGCACCAAGGGGGTCCATGACCTGAGCTGGTCTCACAGCCCAGCAGAGTCTCCTTCTGGCTGGCTTGCTAACTGAATCATTAAAACTGAAGATCATGGACAAAGTCTCTGTAACTAGTCAAAAGTTAGAAAGTTGTATGTTTATTATACCGGTGGGCAGCACGGGGGAATCGTTCTCAAAATGCGTGACCGCACCACACAAGGATTTTTGCCTTCTATTTATTTCCCAAAATAATACATATACATAACCCCAGCACCTCCCATCCCCGCATTGTATTAAAATGAGGTTAGTAGTCCTTCACGCGTGCGCAATTCTTCTCTTGAATTGGGTCAGTGGTCTCAAATTGAGTCAGTGGTCCCAGGGATGAAGTCAGGAAGGTCTTGGTCAGGTCTCTGTGACCCTCTGGCACAATCCAAGGCCCCCTGCTTTGTGATGGATTAACACAGAGTCCAGGTGCTGGGCATTGTTCTGCTGGTTTCAATATGTTCCTATAATGGTTCACTTGCTCCACTTCTTTCTACAAATGAGCTCATAATATAACAATTAGCTTTAGCTTAAGCATCCAATAATCATTAGCCTAACATTGGTGTATCTAACTTCAATATGAATTGGTTCTAACACTCAGCTAAAATCCTAACCCTTTAAAATCATGATTCAATAGGACTTAGCGAAGCATAAGATGTGAAAAAGGCTTTTGTGTAACTAAAAACAGTGTAAGGCCATCCACTGACCAGCCTGTCCAAGTAATAAGATAACCGTGACACAAAGCAGAGCACCAGAGGACAATTAGACAATACCATGTTAAAATTAGGAAGGCCATACTGAATCCTTATCAGAGGATGTGAAACAGCAGGATGGAGACACAAAAATAAATAAAATATATTGACCTGACACACAGGATGTTGTGTAGATAAGCTGGAGTGTGAAGAAGTCAAAGAAAGAACTTCCCAAAACATCAGAAAGTTCACAAGAATTTTTGAATAATGCATGAAACACATGAATGTGCATATATCTCAGCAATGTAACAGTATAAAGATAACATTGTCTGTGTACACCCCTGTGTTCTTTGGCTGTTGGCCAAGAGCACTCCAGCGCATGGGAGGGGGGGAAATATCGTCCTTTTCTGGATTATTATTATTATTATTATTATTATTATTGTTATTGTTATTCTTCTTCTTATTATTATTATTACTACTATTACTATTATTATTACTCTTACTCTTACTATTATTATTAAACTTTTATAAACTCTAAGCAGTGAATTTTGTTTTTCACACCCTGAACAGGATCAGGACCCCCCTGAGTCCCCCATTCCAGTGAACGAGGACCCCCTGCACTGGATCCCAGCCAGGCCCTTATCTAGCACCGGGACCCCCCCAAACCCTGATTCCCAGGAAGGGACTCCCCCTGAACCCCCATTCCAGGGTACCAGGACCCCATTGCATGCCCTTATTCAACACCAGGACCCCTGTTCACCCCCACATCCGGGACTGGAACCCTCCCAAAGCCTCCATTCTCAGGCACAGGGACCCCCCTGCACCCCCTTATCTGTGGGTATATCTTATCTGTGAATATATGTATTGTTATAACAGCAATAAGAATACAACAACTGAAATGTATTAGAGAGAGTCCTATGTATTAGATAAGTGGGTCCTAGCTGTTCTAAATGAGTCACAGCTGCGAAGTCCTTGGTTGGGCAGCAGCTGTGGCTCGTAAAGACAGCTGGGATAAAAGGGGTGGGTCGAGAGCCCAGGAGGAGCCCCTGAGAAGACACATGAAGAACTGTGCTGCAGAGAAAACAGCTTGCTACAGTATGGGACTTGAGAAATATTAATAACAACAAGAATGAAACACTTATCCAGCACAGGGCCCCACTGCACCCCCTTATCCATCACCGGGATCCCCCTGCTTCCCCTCATCCAGCCCGGGGATGCCCCTGCACCCCCTTATCCAGCCCCAATGCCCCCCCACACCCCCTTTTCCTGGACCCCCCCCTCCTGCCTTCCCCAGCCCCCACCCATCACCTTCCTCAACACCGGGGGCCCGTGCACCCTCCTGGGCACAGGGACCCCCTGGAACCCCCATCGCCCTCACCCCCCATTCCTGGGCACAAGGACCCCCCGAACCTCCGTTCCTAGGCAGGGGGACCCCCCTGCAGCCCCTTATCCGGGACTGGGACCCCTCCTGGACCCCCTTCACGTGTTCTGGGACCCCCTACACCCCTGCCCGGCCCTCCCGCCCTTCCCAGACCCCAGACCCGCCCTTTTCCTTCACCTTTGTACCCCCAGATGTCCCAAATTTCCGGATCCCCCCAGTTCTCCCCTCCAGGCGCTTCCTTAAGGGGGTCCCAGGGGTTCCCAGGTGGTTCTCAGAGGGTTCCAGGGCGGTCGCAGCGGGATCCAGAGGGATTCTCTGCAATTCCCCCGCCCCCGCCCCGCCCTCCATCGGTGCCTTTCGCTTCCGCGTCCCAACCTGCGAGACCGGGATCTGCCCGGTGACCGGTGACGTCACTGACAGGTCGGGCTGCCATTGGCGGGCAGTAAAAAGCGGGACTAATGGCAGGGCCGGATGCGGCTCAGGGAGCCTGGCCATGGCTGGGGCGGGGCCGCAGCCGAGCAGCGCCATGGCTCCAGCGCTGGGTTTGGGGCTGCTCTGGGGGCTCCTGGGGCTCCTGGGGGACCCGGGGGGCGCGATCAAAGGTGAGTGGGAACCCTGAAACCGGGAACTCCCTGAACTTCCATTTCCGGGCACCGGGACCCTCCTTAACTTCTATTACCGGGCGCGGGAACCGCCCATAGCCCCATTTTGGGTCCTCTATCCCCTCCCCCAAACCGGGACCCCCCTGTACCCCCTCATCTGGCACCGGGACTGCCCTGAACCCCATTCCTGGGCAGGGAAACCCTCCTGAACCCCCATTCTCGGGCATCAGAATCTACTGAGCCCCCATTCCTGAGCACGGGCACCCCTTGAGCGCCCATTTCTGGGCACGGGGACCCCTCTGTGCCCCCTTCCCCAGCACCGGAACCCCGTGAAACTCCTTTTTCTGAGACCCACCTGAACCCCGAATTCTGGGAAAAGAATCACCTGAACTTCCATTCCTGGGCGGGGAAATCCCCCTGCACCCCCTTATCTGGCCCAGGGACCCACCGCATCTCCCATTCCTTTGGATCAGGATCCCTTTGAACCCCGAATAACGACGGGGGAACCCCCCTGAACCCCCATTCCTGGGCACTGAGACATCCCTGAATCTCCATGTCCAGGTGCAAGGACCCCCCCTGCACCCCTGACCCGGGACTGGGATCTCCCCGCACCCCCATCAGTGCTCCGGGACCCCCTGCACCCCCATTCCCGGCCATCCCGGCCTTCTCAGACCCCAGACCCGCCCTTTTCCTCGGCTTTTGCACCCCCAGATCTCCCGAATCTCTGCGTCCTCCCAGTTCTCTATTCCCGGCGCTTCCTGGAAGGGGTTTCAGGGGTCCCAGAGCGTCCTAGGGGTCCCAGGGGGTCTCAGCGAGGATCCAGTGGGATCCAGATGAATTGCATGGAATTCCCCTTTTCCCCGTCTCATTTTTCCGTCTCCCGAGCTGCGTCCCCGGGATCCGCCCGCCTCTCCCAGCCTCAGATCCCCCTTTCCGTGACCCAGGGACCCCTGAACCCCCATTCCTGCCTTTCCCAGCTCCCAGACCCCACTGCCCTCAACACCGGGGACCCCTGGACCCCCTTTGGTGGGCACCGGGGACCCCTGGATCCCCCATCCCGCCTCTCCCAGTCCCTTCATTGGACCTTGGACCCTTCCCGGCTCTCCCGGTTCCGCTTCCCGACCCTTGGACGCTCCCAGACCCCCCAATCTCTGCGTCCCCCCATGTGGGATCTCAGCCTCTCAGGGCTGAGGGGCAGAGTGACCAAGACCACCCCTGGGAGGCTCGGGAGTCCTGGAATGTTGCCAGAAATGTCTGGTGGCTGGACTTTGATCCCACATGGGAGACGACATCAGTATGAGGATAGGAGGATTTCACTGGGGTGAATGGTGAAGGGATAAGTTAATTGGAGTGTGAGATAAAGGGTTTAAGATTTCTGTACAGGGGGGTCTAGAGAAGTAAGATGGAGGAATTGGGGCGTGCCCTTCTCCTTCTTCTTCTTCCTCTAGGCCTCCATCTTCTGTGGTGATGTTGGCACTCTGGGATTGGACCTTACTAGGGGAACACTGGTTAATAAGGGTAGAGGGTATTGGAGAAAAATGATAAATATTGTACACGTAACTCCAAGTATAAAGATAGACGACCGCCCCAGGGGCTCTCAGTGTGTGCCCATGGCTGACTGCTGAGCAGAACTCTGTCAGGCCCAGAGAAAATCTTTTAGATAAGCATTTAATAAACACCGAGACTGAGAAAAGATCTGAAGTCCCTTCTCGTTCTTTGGAGCGCGGGCGGCCCAAGGCCATCTTTGGGCTTTTCCAGACCATCTAAACAGCCCAAAATCCGGCAAGTGGCGTCCGCTGCGTGGGCTATCTCCCACCAAACCTTTCGGGGGGGGGAAAAGCCCTGAAGAGCTGAAGAGCCAAGAGGACAGCACTGATAACTCCTGAGGAGAGAAGCCTGAAGAAAGGAAGAAGAAAAAAAAAAAAAAAACTGGCCAGGAGAATCTGCAAAAATCAGCAGTCACTGAGAATTCCATCTCTCAGCTTCTGCCGAAGACAGTTCGTAGCAGAGCGGCCTGGACTGGAGCAGAGGGACCAGAAAGGCGCCTCTGGATCCATCTCTCATGACCTGCTGGACGGAGACTGAGGGCTTTCAGACCACTCTGACGACAGATTCGGTAAGAAGGCCAAAATAAGATCAACGAAGTCATAGAAGACATGGGGCCACTTCAGTTGGGACTTCCATCTGTCTCAATGATTCCCAGAGATTGGCAGCTTGTGGTCATTGACCTCAAGGATTGTTTTTTCAGTATCCCACTCCATCCAGATGATGCTCCGAGATTTGCCTTTTCAGTTCCGAGTATCAACAGGGAAATGCCTCTGCAGCGGCACCATTGGGTTGTTCTTCCACAAGGTCTAAAAAATTCCCCGACGATCTGTCAATGGTACGTGGCACGAGCTTTGGCACCAGCACAAAAGAAATTTCCGAAGGCAAAGATCATTCATTACATGGATGATTTGCTCATTGCAGCATCAACACGACAGGAGCTGCAAGAAGCTCGTGACTGTGTGATCGCAGAGGTGCAAAAGGCAGGTCTGGAAATCAGCATTTCAAAGATTCAAGAGGTTGCACCTTGGAAATATCTAGGGTGGAAAATTTCAGAGAAAACAATAAAGCCTCAAAAAGTGGAGATCAGCACAAAGGTCAACAATTTGCATGATTTGCAACAGCTTTTGGGAGAAATCAACTGGATGAGACCAGTTTTGGGAATCACAAACAGCGACATTCCAGCGCTGCTTGATCTCTTGAGAGGAGACACAGACATTCGTTCTCCCAGGACACTCATGCCAGAAGCGAGAAAAGAGTTGGAGAAAATCACGAACGCGATACAGAAAAGGCAGGCACATCGATTTGTTCCATCGTTGCCTTTTCAGTTGGCAGTACTGGGGAAGAAAACACAGTTCCATGGTTTGATCTTCCAATGGGATGAATCACAAAAGGAGTCTTTGATAATCATAGAGTGGATTTTCCTACCGCACAGGCCCGCGAAAATGATTCTCACAGATTTGGAGATGGCAGCACAAATCATCATAAAGGCGAGAACGAGGCTGCTGACAATGGCAGGAAGAGAATTCTCAGTCATCAGATTACCTCTGAAACGAGACTACTTCAATTGGGCAATGCAACAATCGAAAGACTTGTTAATTGCGTTGTTAGCTTTCCCAGGAGCTTGCACAATCCACTTTCCACAGCATAGAATACTGCAATCGCAAATATGCTATAGAGCAAAACCACGAATAAGTGAAGAACCTTTGGATGGGATCACAGTGTTCACGGATGGCTCAGGGAAGACACACAAGTCAGTGATCACGTGGAGAGACTCAACGACAGGGGATTAGGAATCAGACGTGAGGATGGTTCAGGGCTCTCCACAAATTGTGGAGTTGGCAGCCGTTGTCCGAGCATTTCAGTTGTTCAAACAGCCTCTCAATCTGGTGACAGATTCCGCATATGTTGCGGGTGTGGTCAAGAGATTGGAGGGTTCGCTCTTGAAAGAAGTCAGTAATGAGGTTTTATACTCATACCTGACAAGCTTGAAAACACTGCTAGAGAGCAGGGAAAGAGAGTATTTTATCACACACATTAGAGCGCACACGACACTTCCGGGGTTTTTAGCGGAAGGGAATGCTCGGGCGGACAGGTTGACAATGCCCGTTTTGCAAACACTGCCGGACATTTTTGAGCAGGCAAGGTTAAGTCATGCATTCTTTCATCAGAATGCGCAAGCGCTAATGGAGTCCTTTCGTCTCACAATGAGTCAGGCGAGGGAGATCATTAGTGCTTGTCCAGACTGTCAGCTTGTGCAGCCACCTTCTTCTACCGGGGCCATCAATCCGCGGGGGCTGCAAAGTCTTCAGTTGTGGCAAGCTGATGTCACAAAATACCCATCTTTTGGGAGGCTCAAAAATGTTCATGTTTCTGTAGATACATTCTCAGGTGCAGTCTTTGCTTCAGCACATGCTGGGGAAACAGCAGACCATGCTTGCCGACATTTTCTGCAGGCATTTGCAGCATTAGGTGTGCCTCAGGAGATAAAAACAGATAATGGTCCAACGTATACAGGCAGCGTGCTTGACAGATTCCTGAAAAGATGGGGTGTCAGACACACGTTTGGTATTCCGCATTCACCCACAGGTCAGGCGATCATTGAGAGAACACATCACACCCTAAAATCCCTTCTGGACAAATAGAGAAGGGGTGAGCCAGAGGCAACACCGCACATGAAATTAAATAAGGCACTGTATGTGCTGAATTTCCTAAATAGCTCATCCTCGGAACCTGATCCACCGACCGTGAGACATTTTCTAAACAACACACAGGCAAAGCTAAAGGAAAATCCTTTAGTTTTGATCAGAAACCCAGAGACAGGACAAATAGAGGGTCCTTTCAAACTAATCACTTGGGGCAAGGGTTTCGCTTGTATTTCCACAGATCGAGGTCTGAAGTGGGTGTCGGCGCGGCACGTGAAGCCATTCCGGACGCGAGAACACGAGAACGCTGATCCAAGAAACAAAGAGACGAGTACTCAGACAGAAGTCGAGACTCAGACTGCGAAAAACGACCCGGAAGAGAGATAAAAAGAAACTAAGGACTTTGGGGGGTTTTCACATAAAAGCGAAGTAATGGGTTTCATGATGCTTATGTGCATCGTTCTTTCATTCATTGCAGTAAGCAGTGGGGGAGATTTACCTGTTAGTCAACCAAGGCAAAATGTATGGGAGGCTTTAGCTCGGGCAGCGAATTTAGATAGTATCTGCCTGACACATTCAAGACCAGGTAAACCGTTTTCAGCATGCATGGTTGGATTGCTGGTGGACGAATGGCCAGTTCCAGGGCACTCCGCAATTAACATTTCGCAGGTCATTAAAAATCCTATAAAAGAGTGGTGTGCTTGGACACACCTGCTTCCTGTGGCTTCTACAGAACCTCAGGAATTGGAGATTTTTGGGTCCATGACAATGAGACTCTGCATGCAGTTTGAAGCTCCAAAAGTCACAAAGGCGAAAACTATCGATTTAACTCCCACTCATGAATTTTATAAGAATGCGTCAGCTTGGTGTAAATATACAAAGAGAACCACCAAAGGATCGATCCAAGTCCCGGTGCAACTGCCGCGGGGTCTGTTCTTAATTTGTGGGGACAGAATTTGGCACGGCATTCCTGCTAATGCCACGGGAGGTCCATGCAGCATTGGGGAAATTTCAATGCTATCGCCTGATTTGAACATGTTAAGAGAGGAAAGGCACAGAGAAAAAAGATCAATACAACAATATGCGGCAAATTGCAATGATGAAATATTTTCTTGGGACAAGAAACGAGTATTGCTACAGCAATCTTCTCACCTCAGACAGCATCAGGGGTGGCCTTGACACAGATCGACCGCATGGGTTGTTGGTTGAGCAAACATGCGCGGTCTGTGTCTGTCACATTGGATGACATGTTAAAAGACATCAGTAGTGTGAGACAGGCGACTCTTCAAAACAGAGCGGCAATCGATTATCTATTGCTCGCTCATGGACATGGGTGTGAAGAGTTCGAAGGGATGTGCTGCATGAATCTCTCAGATCATTCAAAGTCAATTCATGAAAATATCAAAAATATAAAGGACAGCATAAATAAGCTTGGCGAGATCACAGGATCATGGGTCGATCAACTGGCAGAATTCTTTGACATCTCTCCCATTTGGAGAGGAATCTTAAAGATAGGGTTCTATGTTTTAATAGTTCTCCTAGTCCTCATACTTGTTGTCCCATGCATATTTGCATGTTTAAAATGTGCGATGAATCGGATGGCGAAGAAGATCTTTTTGGTGCAAACAGAAGGGGGAGATGTGGGATCTCAGCCTCTCAGGGCTGAGGGGCAGAGTGACCAAGACCACCCCTGGGAGGCTCGGGAGTCCTGGAATGTTGCCAGAAATGTCTGGTGGCTGGACTTTGATCCCACACGGGAGACGACATCAGTATGAGGATAGGAGGATTTCACTGGGGTGAATGGTGAAGGGATAAGTTAATTGGAGTGTGAGATAAAGGGTTTAAGATTTCTGTACAGGGGGGTCTAGAGAAGTAAGATGGAGGAATTGGGGCGTGCCCTTCTCCTTCTTCTTCTTCCTCTAGGCCTCCATCTTCTGTGGTGATGTTGGCACTCTGGGATTGGACCTTACTAGGGGAACACTGGTTAATAAGGGTAGAGGGTATTGGAGAAAAATGATAAATATTGTACACGTAACTCCAAGTATAAAGATAGACGACCGCCCCAGGGGCTCTCAGTGTGTGCCCATGGCTGACTGCTGAGCAGAACTCTGTCAGGCCCAGAGAAAATCTTTTAGATAAGCATTTAATAAACACCGAGACTGAGAAAAGATCTGAAGTCCCTTCTCGTTCTTTGGAGCGCGGGCGGCCCAAGGCCATCTTCGGGCTTTTCCAGACCATCTAAACAGCCCAAAATCCGGCACCCCCATTTCTTCACCCGTGTGTCCTGCTGGCGGGGGGTTCCTTGGGGTCCTGAATTTTCACTTCTGGGCACTGGGACCCCCCTGCACTCCCTTATCCAGTACCAATCCCCCTCTGCACCCCCTTTCTCATCCATCCTGCCTTCCCCAGTCCCCCCTTTTCCTTGACCCTGAGACCCCCTGGACACCCATTCCTGCTTTTCTCAGCTCCCAACTCCCCTTTCCTCTGCATCAAGGATCCCCAAGACTCCTATTCCCAGGTCCTCCCACCTTTTGACCCCTCATTCCTTGGGACTGGGGATCCCTGGACCCCCTTTCCTGGGCACAGGGATCCCCTGGAACCCCCATCCCACTCTCCCAGTCCCTGCACCACCCCCTCCCCCTTCTGAGCTCCCATTCCTGGACACCAGGACCCCCTGCAGGCCCTTTCCTGTCCATCCCACCTCTCCCACCCTGCACACCCTTTCCTTGGCCCCAGGATCCTCAAACCCATTCCCAGCTCTCCCAGTTCCCCTTTTCATTGATCCATGATCCCCTCAACCCCCCAAATCTCCGTGTCCCCCCAGTTCTCCACTCCCTGCGTTACCTGCACGTGGCGGTGTCAGAGCCCAGCCCAGGGATCCCCCAGTACATGCAAATGGGGTTCATGGATGGGATCCCCTTTGTGCGCTACGACAGCGAGCAGGGCCGGCTGGAGCCGCTGACGCAGTGGATGAAGGATGGAGTCCAGCCAGGATTTTGGGAGTGGCAGACCCGGAACAGTATGAGGAACCAGCACATGGATGCCAAGAACCTGGAGACACTGCAGGAGCGATACAACCAGAGCGGGGGTGAGTGGGGGGATCTGTGGGGGTGGGATGGGACTGGGGGGATGGGATGGGATCTATAGGTGTCGGATGTGGATTCATGGGGTTCAAGTGGTTGAAATGGGGATCCATTAGGCTAGGATTGGATATCATGTGATCCATGGATTGGGATGTGAATCCATGGGGCTGGGATGGGATCTGTGGGGCTGGGATTGGATCCATGCAGCTGGGATGGGAACTGTGGGGCTGGGATAGAAACTGTAGGGCTAAGATGGGGACCCATGGGGCTGGGATGGGATCTGTGGGGCTAGGATAGGAATTGTAGGGCTGGAATGTGCATGCATGGGGCTGGGATGGGATCTGTAGGGTTGAAATGGGAACTGTAGGGCTGGGGTGAGCATCCATAGGGCTGGGATCGGATCTATAGGTTACGGATGTGGATTCACAGAGCTCCAAGTGGCTGAAATGGGGATCCATTAGGCTGGGATGGGATATCTTGTGATCCATGGGGCTGGGATGTGCATCCATGGGGCTGGGATGGGATCTGTGAAGCTGGGATGGGACCTGTGGGCTTGGGTTGGAATCTGTGGAGTTAGGATTTGCATCCATGGGGCTCCAAGGAGCTGGGATGAGGCTCTGTGGGTCTCCATCAGACTCTGGGGCTCCATGGGGCTGGAATGGGGCTCTGTGGGGCTGGGACACAATTCCATGGGTCTCTGTGGGTACAATCCCTCCAGGTCTCCACACAAGGTTGCGAGTTTCCGGCTGTGACCTCCTGTCCGATGGGAGCATCCGTGGATCCCACCGGAATGCCTACAATGGGCGGGATTTAATCTCCTTTGACCTGGAATCCAGGAGATTTGTGGCGGCCGACAGCGTTGGTGAGATCATCAGGAGGCGCTGGGAGCAGGATGGGACCGTGGCTGAGTATTGGATGAATTACTTGAAGCACGAATGCCCCGAATGGCTCCAGAAATACATCAGATACAGGCAGAAGGAGCTGGAGCGCAAAGGTGGGAGCAGAATTCCTGTGGGGATTTGGGATTTGGGGATAGGGGACTTGGGAACACAGTAATTCCTGTGGGAATTCTATGGATAGATCTCATCTCCAGTGAGAATTCCATGGGTAGATCTCACTCTCATGCCATTCCTGTGGGAATTCCATAGGTAGAACTCACCCCAGTCCCACTCCCATGGCATTCCAATGATGTCTATCACCATTATCCCGTTCCAGAGCCCCCTGATGTCCATGTGTCTGGAAAAGAGGAACACAGGACGCTGATCCTGTCCTGCCACGCGTACGGATTCTACCCTAAAACCATCGCAGTCAGCTGGATGAAGGGGGATGAAACCTTGGATCAGGAGACGGAGTGGGGCGGGATCGTTCCCAACAGCGACGGCACCTTCCACACCTGGGCCAGGATCGAGGCACTGCCGGAGGAGCGGGAGCAGTACCGGTGCAGGGTGGAGCATCCCGGAATGCCGGAGCCCGGGATCTTCGCTTGGGGTGAGGCTGGGAATGTGGGGATTGGGAATTTGGAATTCCCAAATGGGGATTCCCCTTCCCCTTCTCACTATCCCGCGTTTCCCAGAGCTGACATCTGGTGGGAATCTCACCATGGTGGTCACTGTATCCATCATCACTGCCATCCTCATCCTCATTGTCCTCATCGGATTCGGCGTCTGGAAGCTCCAATCCGGTAACACACGGGATGGGGGTCGGGAAGGGACACGGATCCACCCGGCACGGTTCTGGGAATCCTGTGCCACCAACGCTGATCCCACTTTGTTTCCACAGGGAGGAGAGACAGGAATGGATACAACCCGGCAGCTGGTGAGTTCCAGTGGTGGATCCAGCTCTAGATCCCCTCTGTGCAGATCCCAGGATGGATCCTGGGGTTAATCCCAGTGTGTGATCTGTGCTGGAATCTCATGGATCTTCTCTTTCTGCAGGAAGGGACATGGGAACCAACAGCTTCAGCACAGGTATGGAGCAGGATCAGGGTGAGATTCCAAAGGGGGATTGGGGCAGGATGGATGGACTGGGATCAGGGAGGGATTCTGGATCAGGGCAGGGGTCCATGCAGAGTGGGATTAGGGGGAATTGTAGAGTGGGACTGGGGCTGGATTCTGGAGCAGGATTAGGTGGGATGGATGGAGCAGGATCGGTCCAGGATGGATAGAGTGAGATCAGGGAAGGATTCCAGTTCTGAATTGGGTGGGATGGATGGAGCAGGATTGTGGCAGGATTCGGGTAGGATCATGTGGGATCCTGGAGTAGCTCCTGCTCTCCATGGACTCCAGCCAGGTCTACCCTGTGGAATGGGGACAGGGATAGGGTGACACCGTGACCTTCTCTCATCCTGGCAGGAATCACTGCCTGAGTGATCCATGGAGCTGGATCCGGCCCCTTCCCTCTTCCCAGGAAAGCTGAGAGCTGCCACCAGAGCTGATCCTGCTGCTCCCACCCACCCCACAAGTCTTTCTAACGGATTCATTTCCAGTTTTCCATTTCCCAGTGTTTTAAAGGCAAGAACCACAAATATTTACAATGCTTTAGTTCTGGTGTGAAATTATCCTGCTTTGGGCAATAAATCTACTTGTGGCAATAAATCCTGCTTTGGGCAATGTCCTGGATTGTCACGCAAATTGTATTCTATTTACCATCTGTATGGCAGTTGTTTTCTGTTAAGTAGGCAATTTTCCTTATCTCTTCTACAACCGGGGAGATATCTGTTGATAACAGGCTATTGAATGTCACTGCCTGACTGATAAGAACTACAGCATCCCAGTGTGAGATGCTCCACCCAGAGGGGCGAGCCAAACATTCCTACCTGGATATAATCTTGAGGTTCTGGACCACCAGCATGGCTTTCTCCACTGCATCTCCAGAGGAACAGCAGCTGCCTCTCCTTCCACTGGATCTTAGAGGAAGACTGCACCTTTCTACAGGATCCCTGCTCCAACAGAACCACACCTGACGCTCCAGGAGGACTGCAGCCACATTTCCAATGGGACTGCTACCAACAACCTGGCCAACAGGGTGTCAGGTTGTGTTCTGACTCTGTCAGTGTTGTTCTAGTGCACTGCATTGTTTATTTTATCTTTTTATTTTCTTGCCTAGTAAAGAACTGTTATTTCCTGCTCCCATATTTTTGCCTGAGGGTCTCTTAATTCCAAATTTATAGCAATTTGGAGGGGTGGGGAGGGTTTACATTCTCCGTTTCAGGGGAGGCTCCTGCCTTCCTTAGCAGACTCCTGTCTTTCCAAACCAAGACAGATTTTGGCGCCCAACGTGAAGCTCGAGGGCATAGAAACAAAAAGGGGATAACAGTTCTTGAGTAATCTAATTTTGTGTGCTGATATAGAAACCTTGTTAGGTGTCACCATGTGGTCCAGCTTGCCCTGGTTTGGGGGGCATGTGACCATGGCTGTATTTGTCCCATTCACACACCCTCATCTAAACATGGGTCCTATAACCAAGGTTGTCTGGTTTGCTTTACAGGTTAATAAGGTGAGGAATTCATGGATTTTTAACTTCCACTGGAAGGCAAGCACGTGGATTCAGAGCTATCACACCCTTACTGTATGGGCCCCTCAATGCCTTGCCCCATGACTCAGAGGTAACTCCCTCCAGGAGCCATTTCTGTTTGATGGGCAATCAAGGACCAATCATGACTCAGAACGGTATCAGCTCATTGGGAGATGCTCCACCCAGGGGGGAGGAGCTCAGCATCCCCACCTGGATATAATCTGGGTTTTGGGACAGAACAGGCAGCCCTTACCCACTGGTTTCCAGAGGACAAGAGCTGCCAGATCTTTGCTACGGAATCACCACTTCAACAAGACCATTTCATCTGGACTGCCACCACCACCCTAACTAGCAGGGTGTCAGGATATATTCTGACTCTGTCAGTGGTTTCATTTTGTACTATTGCATGTATTTTTGGGTTTTTTCCCTTTTCCTAATAAATTGTATTTCTGACTTGGAGTCTCTCACTGGTTTTGCTTTCTAACCAGAACATAATTTTGGCACCCAAAGTGGGGCAGCAAGGTTTTTTCTCAAGAACCTGGTTCCACTTGGTGGGTAATGCAGAAGGATGGGGAAACCTCTTGTATACCACCAGGAGACCTATATTTAAGTGAGAACTGTGTATAAAGTTTCATTTTACATTATAGATATGTATAACTGTAACAGAGTATTGTTTTGGGTATAGATGGCAATAGGATAAGGGGTGGATTATGTCCTAGGTTAAAACATAAAGATTTATTCTATTCCCATCCTCAAGAGCTGTTCAGACCAGCAGAGGCATTGTTTTTTCCTTATCTCCTGTTAATGGGCCCCTCAATGCCTTGCCCCATGACTCAGAGGTAACTCCCTCCAGGAGCCATTTCTGTTTGATGGGCAATCATGACTCAGAACGGTATCAGCCCATTGGGAGATGCTCCACCCAGGGGGGAGGAGCTCAGCATCCCTACCTGGATACAACCTGGGCTTTGGGACAGAACAGGCAGCCCTTACCCACTGGTTTCCAGAGGACAAGAGCTGCCAGATCTTTTCTACAGGATCACCACTTCAACAAGACCGTTTCATCTGAACTGTTACCACTGCCCTAACCAGCAGGGTGTCAGGATATATTCTGACTCTGTCAGTAGTTTTATTTTTTATTATTGCATGTCTTTTGGAGTTTTTTTCCCTTTTCCTAATAAATTGTATTTCTGACTTGGAGTCTCTCACTGCTTTTGCTTTCAAACCAGAACATAATTTTGGCGCCCAAGGTAGGGCACCAATGTTTTTGCTCAAGGACCTGGTTACTCTGGGTGGGTAATGCAGAAGGACGGGGAAACCCCTTGTGTACCACAAAGAGACCTAATTTTAAGTGAGATCTGTGTGTAAGGTTTCATTCTGTATTTTATATATATCAATATATCTATACATCTATATATCTTTTATATACATTATTATGTGCATTATACATTTATATATCTTTTTCTTTTGTGTTTCATGTATTTTGGCGTTTTTTCCCTTTTTGTAAAAACTCTTATTTCTGACTTGGAGTCTCTCACTGGTTTTGCTTTCAAACCAGAACAACTGGCCACTGGCGATGGTTGTTTGGCTTGACTGACCAATTGGATCCGCGTGTGTGTTGTGACTGTCAGGCAAGGGCCATGGGTTGTTCTTAGTGGTAAAGGATGGTATAACAAAGGGATTGGACAGCCTGCTGCAATCATGGAGTCAATGCTCATTATTCCCCGCTGGGGACTGCTGCTACAACAGGGACTGATGATTTTTCTTTCAGCACTGGACAGTCCTTTTTCCAATGCCCCCATTTCTTACAGGATGCACTCTGAGCCTTCTCCACAGGGGAAGCTTTCTTGGGTGACTTTTCCCGAGTTGCCTTCTTGCTGGGCTGGGATTAACTCTTTCAGTTGGGCCCCTGTCTCAAAACACCTTCCAGGCAACCTCCAGCAGTTTATCCATGTCTTCAACTCCCTTTATCTTTCCTTATGTCTTTTGAAGCCTGACCCACACAAAACAAAACCAGGTGTGCTTTACCATCAAATGATTCAGGATCTAGATCAGTATATTTGATGGCAGATCTCTTCACCTGTTCAAAAATCAGTGGGTGATTCATCATAATTTTGCCTCACTGGGTAAAACTTTGACTAATTTACAGCTTTAGAGACCCCATGTTTTAACCCACATTCCATGAGGCTTTGATATCATTTTAATTTTGCCACCTGCTTGGGTGTATTTGCATCCCACCCAGGGTTTCCAAGGGGAAATATCTCAGTGAAAGCGCCTTGAAACAGCTCCCTGGCTGTGCTCCCCTCCAGGAACATTGAGGTGGATTTATTGACCACTCGTCCCTCAGTGGGGTCTGTGGTATTTGCTGGGTCCCCAGGATGAACTAGGAACTGAGAATCTGACTCCATGTTCTTAGAAGGTTAATTTATTATTTTATGCTATTATTTTATATTACAGAATGCTATACTAAAACTCTACTAAAGAATAGAGAAAGGATACAGACAGAAGGCTTAACAAGAATGAATAATAAAAACTTGTGACTCCTTCCAGAGTCCCGACAGAGTTGGATGGTGATTGGTCATTAAGTAAAAACAATTCACATGTTGCATAAACAATCTCCAACCACATCCCAAAGCAGCAAAGCACAGGAGAAGCAAATCAGATAATTATTTTCTTTTTTTCTCTGAGGCTTCTCCCCTTCCCAGGAGAAGAATCCTGGGCAAAGAGGATTTTTTCAGAAAATATGGCAGTGACAATGGTCAAGTGATGTGTCTGACACAGACTTCAGATCAGCCCGGTGTGATTCATACAGAGGGCATTTATATATTTATCCATTCATTCATTTATTTATTCAATTATTCATTTATTTATTTAATTATTAATAGGCTGTATGGTGCACACATGAACTAAGAGATTATATTGCACCAACCAGCAGCTACAATGAATCAACGATAATCGATATCGGTATCAAACACTGTATCAAATTGCTGGTGATCAATAACAATGTGTAAAAGGCAATACAAGAGTGCAAAAGGCAATTATTAAATTGCCATTTATGACCCGGCTGTGCTGCAGGCACAGTGGAAAGCTGGAAGCTGCTGAGGGGACCCATTCACCCCTGTCCCCTGTCCCTGACTGTCCCCAGAGTGTCCCTGAGTGTCCCCAGAGTGTCCCCAGTGATGTCACCCCAGGAATTCCCATCAGGATTTGGGACAGTATCATTGAAAATTCCTAGAAAATTCCTCTGCTCCCCAAATCTGTCTCAAATACTGCACAGGGAGGGCACAGGTGACAGCAGTGATGTCCCTGATGATGTCAGTGCTCCCATGTGAAACTTTCCTGCAGCAGCCTCGGGATGTCCTCGATGGCTTTTTGGCACTGCTTGGCCACTGTGCAGCTGCCAGGGCCACCGGGGCCACCACAACCATCATAGGGACTCAAGAGGATGTTGTCGATGACCCCAAGTGTCCTCAGCAGGTGATCCTTGGCCAGGCGGGTGCTGGCCCCCCACAGCCACTCAAACTTGGCCACTTTGGCTACCAAGGCCTGGAGGACATCAGGGGACACCTCGTTTGTCCCCTTCAGGATGGCCTCGATGTCCCTGAGCCGCCACTCCATGTTCCAGTAGAACAAGGTGGCTCTGTCACAGGTGGCCACCAAGCGCTGCAGCAGCCCCAGGGCCACAACTGCCCAATGTCCCCTCCTGGTGGCTACCATAGCCTCTCCCATGGCCTCATTGGTGGCTGCCGCCACCTGGGCATTGTATGTGGCCATTTCCCCAGCCACTTCCTCCTTGTCCAGGGCCACCATCAGCTGCTGGTTCGCGATTACCTTCCTGTGGTTGTCACGGAGCTTGGTGGCCTCCCTGGACAGCCAGTCCCAGCTGTCCACGAGCCTGGCCACCAACTCCCGCCAGGCCTTGGCTGCGGCTCTCCCATTGGCCCGGGTGGTCCCAGGGGTGGCCCCGAGGGTGGCCAGGGCCCGGCCCAGGGAGGCGACACCAGGGTGGCCCAGGGAGGCGACATTGCTGTGGTTCAGGATTGCACGAAGGCTCCGGGTGAAGTTCTTCAGGTCCTCATGTAAAGAGTTTGGGGACTTGTCGCTGTGTGGCCCAGTCATGGTGGCCAGCAGCTCGCCCAGGGTGGCCACCACGGCCACCAGCACCTGAAGCTGTGGAGGGGACACCTGTGGAGGAGACAGGGGAGATGTCAGGGACCTGGTGGCACTTTTGGCCTCCTGCGGTGGCCTCGGTGCCCTCAAGTAGTCCCCTCTGCCCTTCTGTCCCTTTGTCAGCGTCTTGTCCCCACTGCCACCTCCCGCCACCCCCCGTGTCCCTTCCAGTGTCCCCTCTGTTCCCCTCTCCCCACCATCGCACCTCTTGGGGCTCCATGGTCACTGGGGATACATTGGGGACACTCTGGGGATGCTCTGGGGGTCGAAGGAGCCTTGGGATGTCCTCGATGGCTCTTTGACACTGCTCAGCCACCTCACAGGCACTGGGTCTGGCGCAACCACCGGTGAAATAGACCTTGATGATGTCGTCAACTGCCCCCAGCAGGTGATCTTTGGCCAGGCGGGCGTTGGCCTCCCACAGCCGCTCGGCCTGGGCCACCTTGGCCACCAAGCCCTTGAGGACATTGAGAGATGCCTCATTTATCCCCTTCAAGGTGGCCTTGGTGTCCCTGAGCAGGCGCAGCAGCTCCCGGGGGAACGCGGCGGCTTTGTCACACGCGGCCACCAAGCGCTCCAGCAGCCCCAGGGCCGCCTCCAGCTGCTGTCTCACCATGGTGGCCCTTGTTGCCTCACTGGCAGCCACCCTGGCCTCTCTCCTCACCTGGGCTCCATGCCCGGCCACCACCTCGGCCCCCTCCTCCCTGCCCAGGGCCTGACCCAGCTCCACCATGTTTTCCTGAGCTGTCCCATAACGTGCAGCCTTGTCCTGCAGCTCCCTGGCCTGGGTGGCGGCGGTGGCCACCCTGTCGGCCGCCTTGGTGGCCAAATCCCTGCAGGCCTTGCGGAGCTTGGTGGCTGCCCTGGCCAGCCGGACCCAGCTGTTCACAAGCGCAGACACCGACCACAGCCACTCACCAACCGCCAATCCCACAGGTAACAAGGTGGTCCCTGGGGTGCTCTTGTAGGCGGCCAGGGTCTGCCTCAGGGTGTTGAAAGGGCTATCATTGTCGGAGGTGACATCTTGGGGCCACCAGGCGTTATCAATGCGGTGCAGGGTGACCCAGAGCTCCCTGGTGAAGAACTCCAGGTCCCAGTACAGGGACCATGGGGACCAGGGCTGCATCATCTCGTCCTGACTGCTCAGCGTGCCCAGCAGCTCACCCAGGGTGGCCACCACGGTGACCTGTGGCTGCAGCAGGGCCGGGGACAGCTGGGGAGGGAAAAAGGAAGGTGTCAGGGACCTGGTGGCACTTACGGCCTCCTGGGGTGGCCCCCTGCCCCCGAAGGGCCCTTTTTGCCCCTCCCTGGAGGGCTCTGCTGCCCGTCTGTCCCTCCCTTGTTACCGCTGCCAGCCCTGCCACGTCCCTGGTAGCGCCTGGCACCCTCCTGCCCTCACTGCTGTCCCCTCTGCCACCTCCCCACCCGCCCCGGTATCCTCTCCCTCTTTCAGCACCCCACGTTTTCCCCCCTCCCGTCGCACCTCTATGGGGCTCCATGCTCACTGGGGACACCTTGGGGACGCTCCGCAGGCGAAGGAGCCCCGGCACCAGCTCCGGTCCCGGCCCAGAACAGGCCCCGGGGTCGGCGCCGGGAAAAGGCGGAGCCCCCTCAGGAGGGGCCGTAAAAGGGGTTGGGCGAGGTGACGTCACCGCCCGCCCTTTCGAGTACCGCCCCTATCCATGGAAAGCGCCTGGATTTGGCCGTTTTGGTTGAATCCCAGGGGATTTAGGCTCAGTAGAAGGGGATTTAGGCTCCATCCCCAGGGGATTTTGGTTCCATCCCACCATTTCTAGGCGGATTAATTCCGCCGTTCCCGGCTGGATTTACGAGGGAACGCGGAGCGCTCTGAGGCGCCCACAGAGTTGCCCTCAACAAACAGGGCCGCGCTGCTTCTCTCGCGAGACCTCTGGCGAGAAGCCCCAAAGGCGGCGCGGACCAATCAGAAGCCGCGCCGGCCAGAAGTACTGGCAGAAATTCCCCGGGCTTTGGCGTCGGCAGCTGCTTCCGGCGAATCCGCGGTGCATTGTGGGCATTGTGGTCCCGGTGGGGCCCAGCGGCGGAGGAGCCGGGCTGAGGCCGCAGGGGGGGGAGGGGGCGGGGCGGGAATTTGCGGGCGCCGAGGGAGCCCCGGGACCCCCCCCCCGGCAGCGCGCAATGGGCGACAGCGACCGCGGTCAGCACTGGGAGCGGGGAGAGGGGGAGGGGCGATGAGGGGGGGTTTGGAGGGGTTATGAAAGGATTGGGAGGGACTGAGGGAGAACTGGGGGTCCTGAGGGGATGTGGGGTGTTCTGAGGGCGTTTGGGGAGATCGAGAGGGAGAACTGGGGGTCGTGAGGATATTTGGGGGATCCTGAGGGGGTTTGGGGGGATGTGAGGGGGTAAGAGGGAGAACTGAAGATCCTGAGGGTATTTGGGGGGTCCTGAGGGGGTTTGGGGGGATTGTGAGGGGATGTGAGGGGGCTGAGGGGTTGTGAGGGGGTTTGGGACGTGGTGAAGGGATGTGGAGGGTCCCCGGGGGAGAATTAGGTGTCCTGAGGGGGTTTGTGGGGTTCTCAGGAGATCTGGGGGGGTCTTGAGGGGATATGGAGAACTCATGAGGAAATCTGGGGGGATTCTGAGGAGATTTTCGAGGGTCCTAAGGAGGATATGGGAGCCCTGCGGGGGACGTGGGGTACTGAGGGTAGTTTGGAGGTTGTGAGGGCATTTGGGGGCATTCTGAGTGGGTTTGGGAGGATTTGGGGAGTTTTCGACGAGATTTGGGGCATCCTGAGGGAATTTTGGAGATCCCCGAGTGGATTTTGTGGGTCCCTGACTGGATTAGGGGTGATTTGGGGTTATTTTGGGGTCCCTGAATGGATTTTGGGGCATTTGGGGAATTTTGGGCTCCCTGGCTGGATTTTGGGGTATTTTCTGGTAATACTGGGGTCCCTGACTGGATTCTAGGAGGATTTGGGGTAATTTAGGAGTCTCTGATGGGATTTTGGAGTATTTACCCGTGTTTTTGGGGTAAGTTTGGCCTTCTGACCAGATTTTGGGGTGCCTGCCCCGATTTTGGGATATTTTGGGATACCTGACTGGATTTTGGGGTATTTTTGGGTCATTTTGGGGTTCCTCACCAGATTTTTGCCATTTTGGGGTAATTTCATGGTCCCTGACCGAAGTTTGGGGATTTTTTGGGTATTTTGGAGTAATTTTGTGATCTCTGGCTGGAATTTTGGGGTTTTTTAGGGTATTTTTGTAGGACAACAAGGGAAGGATGGTCGGGATGGAGAGAGACAAGAGATCTCTGAAGCCAGGTCATGGAACTTGGGGTTTATTGCAAAGGGCCTGGGTGCAGGGCCTGTGGTAGACAGGGAGAGGCGCTGCGGAAGATCTCGCGATGTAACGGAAAGGCAGGACCCTCAGATCCCCTTAGATAAGACCATCTGCTTCCCGTAGATAAGAAACTAACATAGGAAGGTAGCCTCCCTTAACCAAATTCCAGTAACTTTCCATCCCCTACCCAGTAACAGTCCACCTCTTACTAACCATAGATGGTAAAGACAGACCCATGCTGACGTAGAGACCCCTTAGACTATAAAAACCCAAGAGACGAGATAATAAACGCCTTTTGACCGTCCATCACATTGATGTCTGCGTGTGTCATTGGCCCGAGTGGCCCTGGTGAGTGGGCCACCATGCTGTTCGTCTGAACCAGGTCGCCTGCCTTGCTTCAGAAGGCAACAGCCCTGCTTGGAGCTGCCAGGCACAGCTGGAGTAGGCCTGAGAGAGGGAGAAGAGTGGTGTTATATTTGCCCAATTATCCCATCATCAACAAAACCAAACACTATTAAAGGTAGCAGCAATTTTCATTGAATAGCTTAGAATATATAAAATCGGATACACTTGAAATATTGACAATGTAATTTGGTTAAAATAAGGGATAATTTGGTTCCAATAATAGCGCATTAGCAAAAAAAACCAAACAGCGAGGGGTACGGAGTGCAGGGCCCTTGGACCCCTGCCACCTCACGTAGGAGCTTGCCAAGCGAAAATTCCCCCTGTTGTGCCATGTGTCAATGCCATCTCCTCCCATTTTCAAATCATCACACTTCTACCTCCGCCCTCATCACCACCTTTACCGCGCATGCTCCACCGCTCGGTTTGGTGGTCACACCCATCTTTGGGGGTCGTAACTGATGAAGGCCTCTCCTCTTCCTCGATGTCCTTTAATTCACCCTTGGGTTACACATGTGCACCAAGCCAGTATAATGTACGCCAAAACTAACATATAATATTATATTTAAGTGTCAAAACAACAAATCTCTAATAACTAGCATTTTCCTGGGACCCCACCAGATTTTCCTTTCTTTCTGTTAATTTTTAGTAACTGTTATCTCTTGCTGTTTCCTGCCTTGAACATCTGCAGGAAAGGGGGGGGGAATGGAACCCCTCCTCCCCTTTCTTTCTTGGCATTACACCTGTTAACTGTTTTATTATTGCCAAATATTAATTACTGTATCAATATTAATTACTGTTTCAATTTTGTCAGCACGAATCATACCTCTTTAGCACACTTATCATGATCCTCCTCTGAGTTTTTGGAGTTCTCTGTCAGAAATCTCTCCCCTCCCCCACTCATCCACAGGGCTTTGGGGCGGTTTTCCCTTTTTTGGGGGAAATCAAAGCGATGCCCTGATGCTCCTAATTAGAGGGAGGAGAATTGAGGCTCCAGGGCTTCCCGCTGAGCCGGAGCCACCGGAGCCGCAGTGCCGGGAAAGCCGTGGCGGGAGGTGCGGAGAAGTTTGTTTGTGTTTTCAGCTCAATCCCCTCGGGCCCGGGCCTGTTCCAGGCCTGCTCCTCAGCTCCGGCTCTGCCCTCACGCAACGCGGGGGACCCTGGGAGCGCGGGGCGGGGCTGTGCCCTGTGCAGAACCCGCCCCTGTCTGGGATTGGGCGATGGTGTCGTCAGTCCTGTTTGTGGTGCGCTGATTGGTGGGAGCGGGGCGGAGCCGGGTCCCGGTGGCGGGCTGAGGGCGGCCGTGGCTGGGCAGCGGCGCCATTGTCGGAGCGTGAGTGCGGGCCCGCGAGCGGCGGCAGCGGCCGGAGCGCAGTGAGGCGGCGGCGGAGCTCGGAGGCGGCCGCAGCGCAGGTGGGAGCCGCGCTGGGTTGTGCGGGGGCTCGGGGCTGGCTGCGGGCCTCGGGGGCGGCAGGGGGCTCGGGCGGGTTCGTTGTGCCGTGTCCGGCCCGTGTTGCCGCTGGCGTGAGGGCGCTGCGGGAGCGGCTGCCCGCGGTCTCCTTGCGGCCGCTGCCTCGGCAGGAGCCGCTGGCGGAGCAGCGCTGGCTCGGCCCGGTTGCTGTGGCTGGGACAGAGGGGGCTGCCCCGTGCCCGGGTCTGTGCGGGGAAATTCCCGTGGCCGGAGGTTTCTGTGGCCAGAGGAGACAGAGGAGTCCTGTAAAAGTGACTTTATTGCTGAGCAGAGGGAGAGGCCGTGGGGCATTTGCTGTGCGCTCTCTGCCATTGTTGTAGTTCGCAGCCTCCTTTTTATCCTCATTTTCCCGGCCTCATCTCCCTCTCCCTTTGCGCACTGGCTGAGGTGCTTGGAAGGTTCAGACCTCCCGATCCGCCAACTGCATGTCCCCGTTAATGTGCACCCCCACTTTTGTATAACAGCCGATATTCACGGCTCTGTTAAATCCTTGTTCTTCTGGAAGTTCAGGAATTTAGCGGGACTTTCTGTGAGCAGCAATCCATGTTAATTAGTAACATTTATTGAAGCTGGTGGTTTCGCCCGTTGCTTCCTTATCTGCAAGTTCCTGGCCCCTCGCTCAGCTGCTGAATGAGCTGCACTCTCAAGGTGTGGAGCATGGTAAAAAGATGAGAGTTGCTGCAGCACATCCGAGGAGAAACCGCATTCGTTTAACCCATGATCTGCCACGGAGCCACAAAACCGTGTCCCATTCCCATCCTTTCCGCGTTTGAATCCGTACATGAGCTAATTTCTTCATTCGTTATCTGTTTCACCACTTTTCCTTTTTCATCTTTTTGCCAACAGCAGTTTGTGTCAATTTATTTTCCACAAACTCCTCCTTTTTCTGCTAACAGATGATCTGATGCCATCCCATGGTTAAGTGTTGTGTTCCTCATTTCAGTGGATTGGTCAGCAGGAAGGTCAGGAGCTGGAGCTGTCTGGTTGGTTATAATTCTGAGCAGAACTTGTAATCTAATGATGCCATTGAAATGAGAAATGGGTTCTGCGGCTCCTGATATGGATTGGTTCGGGTTCCCAGGGGCTGGTCCATGGTGTTGCAGGATTTGTTCTGCTGGCCGTTCATCTTTTCCCTATTTTTGGGCGCTCTCTCCAGCCAGGGGTGCATCAATTGACTGCTTTTCTCTAATTAAATCATCAAATCCTTGTTTTCCCAGCTTATTTCCCTGAATTTTTTGTAGCAAAAAACCCCCAGTGCTCTAATATAACCTACATAACACAGACAGTGACAGCACATGTTGGAGTGGGCAGCGGGATGATTCTCCCCCCATTTATTTATAGTGAAGTTTTCCCAACGCTCTCAATGTGCTGTTTCCCTTTGCAGCTTCACCCGTTTCTATTGCAGGGTCAGATATCCTCCCCCTGGGCTCTGCCTTGAGCTGTGCAAATTCCATCAGTGCAAGCAGGCAGAGCTTGGGGTGAGGGGCAGAGGGAATCAGCCCAATTCCTGCCCCAGGCAAGAGACCCAGGTGCATTGTCCACACTTTGCCCAGCAGTGTTCATTTGCATTTCTAAAGCTGCTCTGCAGGCTGCCTGGAATGAAGCTTCTCTTCCTGCTGCTGGGCAATGTTGATGTTTTGTTGCTGGTCGTTATCTCTGTGGGGCTCTTTTGTGCTGTTCCCAGTCTGTTCAGGTGCTAAACTCATCTTCATTGAGCACTGTAACACCCCTTAAAAAAACCCTTTAAAATTCATTTCCCTAAGGCAAAGAAAACCAAGCCTGAGTAGAGAAATAAGGTTTAAAAGAACCAAACACGGTACATTTACAGCAGTGCAATGGCAGGCAGCCCAGAGTGTGTGTGTCAGTGAGGCCCAGAGTGGAATTGTGCCGTGGTGTTCCCCACGTTATCTCTGTGGGGCTCTTTTGTGCTGTTCCCAGTCTGTTCAGGTGCTAAACTCATCTTCATTGAGCACTGTAACACCCCT